CCCCCCCCCCCCCCCGCCCCCGATATCTTCTCATGAATGGATGAGTGAGTGCATTCAGTTGATTGGATCCACTTTAATAAGTCCCGATCAAGCTACATCGTGTGAGTCGTCTCTATCTACGTGGATGTGTGTCGGATTTTCCTTTGCCCACCACACATGTATGTATGCAATTGCCCACGGGTTGCTCGCATGTGCGGCGCCTAGTGGGCAAGACTGAAAGGGGTGGGTCATGGGCCGACAATCATTGTACACGTCGCTCTAAGTTAGAGGATGGACAAGCCGTATCGTCGATGATATGAAGGTTGACACCCAGACGGATATGTATGAGTCAGTCAGTCGTCAGTCCCACTCCCCAGGCCAATAAATGCCCGGACTGAGCTGTCCTGTCCGGCCGGCCGGCTAGGGGCACTCACTGTACTCACTCGCCCTCCCGCCCTCCCCGATCCACTGCCTGCCTGTCTCTCTTGAGCAGGGCTGACCCGGCACTCCGTAAAAAACGAAGCACGTTGGAGCGTTGATTACTCACTTGTCCTCGCGCATCAGTCGAGCACGGAGACCTTGTTCTCGCTCGTCTGTCACACCCTGCTCATCACTCTGCTGCCTTGTGTCCGCGCCCGCATGGCTCGTCGGTACTCGACTGTAAGGCACCTCACCTCGACACGCCCTACAGGTCTTGTGCCTGCACGGCTGGTCTTCGCGACAGCGGGACCTAGCCAAAGCCCCGGTGTAATGGGGCTCCCATATTGAGAGGAACCTCAGTACGCGGCCGAGAGAGCTCCTAGACACACGAACACGCACACACATACACACACTGAGACTGGTGATCGAATCCGTCGAGCACCCACTGGGCAAATCGGTCTTGCGATTCGTCGAGGGCGATGAGATATTCTTCGTTACGACGAAGCAGCGCCTGCCACCGATGCACACACATACACATACACACACACACACTCACACACACATACATACACGCGACGTGCGGGCCTGCCAGATGGCACATACATCTGTCTTCTCTAAGTGAGTCTCGAAGTCGCTTGCGTCATGATGTGTGGCAGCTGATTAGCGGAGGTGGAGAGGGTCAGATGCAAACCGAAGACAGACAGACAGACAGACAGGCAGACGTATTGCCCGTGCGTGCGTGTGTGTGTGCGCGTCGTCTTACTCTGTCCAGAGTCGGGCACCGAAGACCTGCTCGACGCCTGAAGAGCAACAAACACAACTCCTCCAGACGCTGACTATTCCCTTTCCGTGCTGTCACCTGTGTTTGCCCGTCGGCTCCGGGAGCAGACACCGGTGGAGAACTTGCCATCAGCCAACATAGGGGAGGGAACTCTGTGTGCGTTGAGGGATAGTTATGGATTGCCACCGACTCAGGGTTCAGACCTTTCGCGATCGGAGTGGAAGCTCGCAAAACTGCCGCAGATCTCATCGCCCACGGGAAGATCTGCGTTTTGGGCAGTGATCAATTAGCAGAGCAGGTGCTTTGTGGCGCTTTGGCGCATTCTGTCCGTCGGGCGTCAGGGTGTGTGATGAGCACGGGCTTCCAGCGCCAGCTGTCGCCCCTCTCGAAGCTCAATCACACCATCTCGCCAGCCTACTCCACCAGCAGCTCGTCGGAGATCATCCCCGTGCCGCCGCCCCGAGCCATGTCGAGGGAGATGGATGGCGTCGAGGGGACCTGGAAGTCACGCCTGGGCTCCTGGCAGGCTGACGCCGTTGACCATCTCGCGAGCGATCTGCACCACATCGAATTCATAACGCCACTCATCGAGGACATACACGAGATCAAGTGGGTCTGGGTGGCGGCTGGTGGGGGCTGTGTGGTGTAGTGGTGCGGGGGGATGATCCACAGACAGACAGACAGACAGACAGACAGGCAGGCAGACATGCAGACAAACAGACAGACAGACAGACAGACAGACAGCTAGGCAGACAGACAGAGAGGAAAAGCTCGGAGGAGAGAAGGGCGGTTTGCGTGTTGGCGGTGTGCTGTGGCATCTCTGTCTGTCTGAATGTGTGTGTTCTGTGTCGGTATGTCGTGTCTGTGTCCTCACAGGAAGCAGCTCATGGACGTGGTTGGCAAGTACGTCGACCCACAGAGCTTCAAGGCTATCATGGAGGTCAGTCCATCTGTCAACAGGGGGGCAGGCAGGCAGGGATGCATTGCATCGATCTGTGTCTGGGTCTGTGCTGCGTGCTTTGGTTTGTGTTGTGTGTCCCTACCTAGGTGTGGCGCCTGTCTGAGGACTTCAACAACAGCCAGAAGGAGGAGGATTTCGAGAAGCTGGGCAAGTTCATCCTCACTCTCTCAGACAAACAGCTCGTCTGCATCGCGTCCGTTTTCAGCCACATGTGCAACCTCGGTGGGCACCGCACCCAACACACACAGCCACACACGCATGCGCCTCGCCCGTGGTGCTGTTGGTGCAGCCAACTATGCCGAAGCCGCACACAGGATCAGACGCAGACGCGCATTCGACCGGTAGGCAAACAAACCGGTGTGCTCAGCACGTAGGTGTGTGTGGCGTGCGGTTGTCATGTGTGTATGTCAGAGAGCACGAGAGCCACTACTACCAGGCTGCAGACCAGACCATCGAGGGCACTTTCGAAAACCTACTTGTCAGCCAATGAGGGAGGGAGGGAGGGAGGGAGAGTGTTGCACTTGTGGTGCCTCGTTTGATGTCGCAGAAGCTGGGCTTCACGCCCGAGCAGATCTACAAGGGGCTTTGCGAGCAGACCATCGAAATGGTCTTCACAGCTCATCCCACACAGGTGGGGACGAATAGCTGACGACATCCACCCAACAAACACAGCCGCTGCACGCGTGAATCTCTGGGCTATTGTGTGTGCTTTGTCTGTCTGTCTGTCTGCCCAGGCCGTCCGCATGTCGATCCTCCGCAATTTGCGTCGCATCGCCGACGTCATCATCAAGCTCGACCGTCCAGACATCACGCCATTCGAGTGGACTGAGGTGCGCAGAGCATTCCTCCCCATGCACTCGATACACACCAATCTGCCGCCTTGCTGTGTGCCCCCCCGTCAACCAATCAGTGTCGCGAGATGACTAAGCGCGCCTTGGCGACTCTGTGGCGCACAGACGAGGTGCGCCGCGTGAAGCCCTCGCCGTCCGATGAGGCCCAGCAGATAGTCAACATCGTCGAGGACACCCTGTGGGAGGAAATGCCAAGGTGGGGAGGGAGGGAGGGAGGGAGGGAGGGAGGGACAGGCACCCGGACGTCGACCTGCCGCATATGGTGTTGTTGTCGTTGTGTGGTGCAGATTTTTGCGCATCGTTGACAGCCACCTGCAGAAGATTGGGCAGCCGCCGATACCCTTCACCGCTCGGTGACCAAGCACCGCACGGCACGGCGGTAGATCCATCCATTCCTTGTTGTCTGGTTCCGTCAGTCCGTTTTTGTTCTCCTCGTGGGCTGGGGGCGATCGCGACGGCAACCCGTTTGTGACAGCTGACGTGACGATGAACGTGGTCCTCATGAACAAAGTCCGCGCATGTAACCTGTACCTCAACGAGGTGAGCCTGTCAGCGAGGCCATCGAGTTCCTGGATGTACCTGCGTGTTGCTGTCCTGTGTGTGCTCATTCCTGTGTGCGTGACTGTGGTCAGGTAGAGCAGCTTCTGCACGACGTACCATTGCACTACTGCGACAAGGAGTTGTGGCACTACCTGGTCAACCTCCCTCCCCTCGACGGGCTCGGAGCCAGGAACAAGAAACCCTCACTCAGATTCAAGTAAGCAACCGACGACGACCCACTCCCCTGCATGACGCGCCGGTACACCGATTGATGCGATGCATGGATTATGTGGCTATGTGTGGTGTGTGGGTGGTGCAGGTCGTTTACCAGCCAGGTGCCCGAGAAGGAGGTCTACCGCCATGTGCTCGTCCATGTGCGGTCCCGACTCATGGTCAGTCAGCTGACGCGATTCATTCATTCTCCATCGTCGAGACATGCTCGAGACACTCATGCGTGTCGGTTTGTCGGTCGGTCGATGTGGTGTGTATGTGTGCAGGCGACACGTGACTACCACGAGGCTCTGCTGCAGGGCCAGCCCAAGAACGAGACGCTCGAGAAATACGTCTACAAGTGAGCAAGGAAGCGCCCTGGTCTGTCTGCGCCGAGTGCGGCAGTGTCGTCATTGGGTGTGTGTGGTTCAGGACGACGGAGGAGTTTGTGGAGCCGCTGCTGAAGGTGTACGAGTCTCTGGAGAAGTGCGGCGACTGGTTCATCGCCAGGGGGCGCCTCACCGACCTCATACGGTATGCACAACACAACACAACACACGCGGCGAGGGAGAGAGAGAGAGAGATATACCACGCAATCGATCTCCTTCCCTCCCTCCCTCCCTCCCTCCCTCATTCTGTTGTCCGTCTCCCCATGTCTGTGTGCTGTTCAGTCTGGCGCTGGCGTTTGGTTTGTCTCTGCTCAAGCTGGATGTGCGTCAGGAGTCGGAGCGCCACACCGAGGCCATGGAGGAGGTCGGCCAGTACATCGGGATGGGCTCATACAGGAGCCTCCCGGAGGAGGAGAAGATGCAAACACTCGTCAACATACTCGAGGTGGGTGAGTCGGGAGGGAGGGCTGGCCGGGTGGGTGGGTGGCTGCACCACGGTCGTGCATGACTGTCATGGCTGCGTTTAGAGCCGCCGTCCGCTGATCCCTCGCGAGTGGCAGTGCAGCGACAAGGTGCAGGAGGTCCTGGACACTTTCCAGTAAGTCAGAAGACTGACGCACCTGGCAATGGCAGCCCTCGACTGCCTGCCTGCCTGAGTTGGGTTCAGGACCTGTGCGGACATCGGCCGGGAGTCTCTGGGGGCGTACATCATCTCCATGTGCCACTACCCATCAGATGTGCTCCTTGTCGAGGTCAGTCAGACGGGCACACCAATCTACTTAGCTGTGTGTGACGACTTCTTTCCTCTATCTTATGATTCATTCAGGTGTTCCAGCGCGAGTATGCTGGCATGGGAGGCATGACGCAGCGAGTGGTGCCGTTGTTGGAGACGATCGAGGCGCTGAGGAGTGCGCCTCACATCTTGGAGACCCTCTTCACCACCTCGTGGTACCGCAAGCATCTGTCCGACAAACACAACAACGTGCAGGAGGTCATGATTGGATACTCCGACTCGGGCAAAGACGGAGGAAGGGTGACCTCCTCTTGGGAACTCTTCAAGGTACGAAGACCATCCAGACACAGCCCGTCATGCAGTCAGTCATGATTTGTATGGATGGATGGGTCGACGGTTGGTGCGTTGGTTCGTTCGGTCAGGCTCAGGAGGCGGTGACGTCTGTGGCCAAGGCGCACAACGTCACCCTGCGGTTCTTCCATGGTCGCGGCGGCAGTGTGGGGCGGGGTGGGGGGCCGCAGCACGTCGCCATCCTGTCACAGCCATCCGACACCATCAACGGGTACCTGCGAGTCACCGTTCAGGTACCTACATGCCGGCCACACACAAACACCTGCTCACGGTGTTGTGCATTTCTGTGTGTAATAAATGATGATGATATGTGCAGGGTGAGGTGATTCAGCAGGCCTTTGGCCTCAAGGCCATGACGGACCGGACGCTCGAGGCATACCTCACAGCCGGTCGGTAGCCGACATCCGACATCGACATACGCTCATTCATTGCGGCACAGCACAGGACATTGATGTGTGATGGGTGTGTATGTATGCTATGCGTGATGTGTGCACAGTGTTGAAGGCCGACTTGGTGTCGACCCGCAGTGTGATTCGCGACGAGTGGCGAGACCTCATGGAACACATCTCTGACGTATCCATGAGGTAGGACGCACGGCCGCAGACAAACATCGCTGTACCCATGTCCATGTCTGTGTGTGGTTGCTATCTATATGCAGCAAGTATCGCGACGTGGTGTACGGGCATCCGCGTTTCGTGGAGTACTTCCGCGCGGCCACCCCCGAGCAGGAGCTGGGGCGACTCAACATCGGCTCACGACCCGCCAAGAGAAAACAGGGAGGCGTCGAAACACTCAGGTCAGCCAGCAGCCTGTCAGTCAGGTCTGTAAGTAGGCCCAGGAGCTGGCTGCCGACCCATTCATTCTTCATTGCTTGGTTGGTTGATTGTGTGTCGATGGATGGATGGACCAGGGCGATCCCGTGGATCTTCGCGTGGACCCAGACGCGATTCCATCTGCCGGTGTGGCTCGGTGAGGCATACATGGCTAACGTCTGCATGATCGGTGGATGGATGGATGGATGGATGTGTTGTGCGGCTAACTGGTGTAGGTCTGGGTACTGCTTTGCGCGATGTGTTTGAGAGCGGCAAGGGCGAGATGCTCAAGACCATGTACAAGGAGTGGCCATTCGTCAAATCGTTCTTCGACCTCATCAGTCAGTCACCTGCACACACTGACAGACAGACGGATAAATCAAGACGTGTGTGGGGATGGTGCAACGTGTGTGCGTCCAGGTATGGTCATGGCCAAGGCCAACAGCCGCATCGCCGCACAATACGACAGGTGTGCACGCTAACCGGCAACGAGAGAGAGAGAGAGTTGAGCCAGGATGCGTTCTTGTGTTCGTGGCGGTACGTGTGCGTGTGAATGCACAGGGTGTTGGTGCCGGAGGAGCTGAAGCCGCTGGGCGAGGAGCTCAGGGCGCTGCTGGACGAATGCATGGAGTGAGCTAGCTGAGTGCACCACAACACACACACTGGCATCCAAGTGCATGCACACATCGATGGATGGATGGATGGATGGAAGGCATACACGAGTACAACACATGTGCTTTGGTCGGTCTCCGCGTGTGTGTGCAGGCATGTCAGGAAGGTCACGGGCGAGCAGGAGTTCCTCGACAACGACAAGATCACCCAAAGAGCCATCACCGTCAGAAAGCCATGGTACGTTCCAAAGCCCCCACCAATGGCTGACAAACGTACCTGCACATCATCATCATGTGTGTGTGGTATCGACCGACCAACAGGCTGACGCCGATGCACATGATCGAGATTGAGACCCTCAAGCGCATCCGCAATGGGGATGAGTCAGCGGAGATCAACGACGCCCTCATTGTCGCCATCAAGGCCATCGCCTCCGGCATCCAGAACACGGGATAGACAGACACAGACAGACAGACAGACAGACAGACAGACAAGCCCACCATACCCACAACACATCCTAGACGGAAGTTTGTTGACTGACTAGCCCCTCCCTCCCTGACTTTTGTTGCTTCCCCCATGCATTCCTGGCTTCCCTTTTTGGACTCCATTTTGCCACCGTGTACGCGTTGACGGACATGCGTCGCTGCCCACCCTTTTTGGCATACATACATACACACATATGGCTCAGTTTACTCAGATACTCAGATACGCCCCTTACGGTCGATGGATGGATGGATGGATGGCGGGGATTCTTGTCCGCTGCCTGTCCGCTCACGTAGGTCGTTCATTCGTCATGATGTGTGTGTGTGTGTGTGTCTTGGTCTGCGGACGCCTTGTTTCCATCCATCCACCAACCCACCGGTGAAGGAATGCATGAATGCCCGGCCGGTCAGGGGAGGGAAGGGGAGTTTTTGCCACTATTGTCGTGACTGCGTGTACCCCCTTCTGACGAGCTTTTTCCTTTGATCTGTCTGAAATGAGGCGAGACTGCATTGCATCGACGTAGGATTGGAGAAGAAGACACTCTGGCCCATGGACGACGATGTCACTCATTGAAAGACAGACACATACAAGTGGATACACGCACCAATCGGTGAGTGACCTGTGGCGTGTGGTCCTGTGGTTCAAAGTCCGTCAACCAACGACACCCACCGGTGAATGCCTACGTGGCTGGCTGTCTGCATGGAGGGCACCTCAATATAACAAATCGTTACATTACAATACCATTCCAAACGAGGCCAGGCCAGGCATTCCTGCTTGATCGAGGCTACAGAATGCCTCACCAAACACACAGACCGCGACCGCATAAAAACGGCACCAGTTAGATAAACAGCAGCACACACGACACAGAATTGACACATACACACACACACACACAGACACCCACCCACACACAGACGCATAGATAGCGAACCCGGGCAACACAGGAAAAATTTCGCTGACTGCAGCGATCGACGCAGGCAGTCAGTCCCCTTCTTTCTACCTAGCTAGCACACATAACTCAGGGAGTGGCTGACCTCGCTTCTCAGGTCGCTCATGGTCTCCTCTCTGGCGAAAGTCGCCGTCACGTTGTGCGGCTCCGTCTCTGGTGCACACGAGGTGGAATCTAAATCGCTAGTGACGTGCTGCGCCCTCATGTACGCCGCCTCGATCACAGCTCTCTCACTGCTGCCTTCGGGATACTTGCCCCGCGCGTCTGCGAGCAATTGGTCGAAGTACCCCTTGACGATGACCTGCGGGGACAAACAGACACACAGACAGACAGACAGACACGTACAAGTACATTCGTCCACCGATCGCCAGCCAGCCCACCAGGCGTCGAGCAAACTCCTCGCGACTCGCGAACCCCTCACGGGGCGCAGCGATGCCTCGGCCTTCAATGCAGATGAAGGCCAGGTCGGCGAGCACATCCATCAGACGATCGAGGATGAACAGGTCCCTCTGACAGTAATGCCTCAGGCCGTGCATGCCTAGGAAGGAGGAAACAGGAAACAAACATGGGAATGGACGCTGCTCTCCTGCCTCGATTGAGGCAGGCAAGAAAGGCGAGAAGCCCACCTCGCCGTGCTCACAGATTGCTTACTCATGGCAAGAAGCTCGCTGAATGACCACACACGCATCGTCACGTAGAGCCTCTGAAGCACAAATACACAGACACAGAGAAAGAGAGAGATGAACAACTGCGGGCTGCGCACGGATTTCCCTCCTCCCTCGGTGCTTGCTTGGCGTGCACACGCACCCCTTTGATGCGCACGAATCGATGATGCAGCCTGTTGCGCACGCAGTCCTTGAGGAGGTCACTCAACCGGTCTATCGCACTCACGGCCGCGTGCTGCACACATACAGAAGCAAATACAGACGCATCGGCAATGGCAGCCTGCATGCGTCGATGCCGTCGTACCGTACCGGGTCGTTGACGGACGACGTCATGCTCCGCATGCACACCTCGGTGATCTCACGAACTGACCACCTCACACACACACACACACACGCACACACGAATCGAGTGAGATCTCTGCGTTCTGTCTTGCTGGCGTACGGCCGAATGAGATGCCCTCGCCGCCTTTGTCCTCCAGACCCAGACGGAACGCCGCGTTTGTGATTCTGGTCACCCGCTGCAGCTGCTCTTCACCCACCGTCTGGGACTGCTGCTCGCCAGTCGTCGCACGGGTGTGCTGCTTGAAGAGGCTGCTGAAGTGACCTGCCCGTCTCACACGGCGTCCCTCTGGATCGGGATGAACCCTCACCCAAGCCTAGCAGGGCAAAAGAACAAACACCATTTTTTACACATCGAGCACCACTGTCTGGTTTCCCGGCTCGCTCCCTCGCTCACCAATACTGTCCCCTCGGTGATGAATGCGCCGATCATGACGCGACGCCGAAAGCATAGCTGCAGAGGGGGGGACTCCCTGCGTAGCTTGTGAGCAAGCCACTCCAATCGCGCCGAATGGATATAGCCAGAGCAAGTCGATTTGACTGCACTACGACCCTGCACTGACAAGTCGTCGATCTGGCGGGTCTCGTCATCTGGAGCTGGCACATCGACTTTCCACATGCTGAAGCGTCGCGAAACTTTCCGGAGCCAGGCTGCCATCCTTGCAGACCATCCGCGCTCCTCCAGCGACCGTCCCAGGTTTGCTCTCCGCAGCTCGTCTTTGTGTTCTTCGGCGATCCTGTGGAGTATCGACTCTAGGTGGAGTCCACGAAGGAAACTGACACCACAGAAATGCGCCATGCTTGTGTAGCCATTATCGTGTGTCTCGTCTTATGAGGGCTCTACCTGTCCATAAAATATATCAGGACCCAGAGAAGAACCATGGTGTCTGCAGGGTTTACGTACACACGTCAACAGTGACCAAGAACAAGGCAATGGTGGAACGTGGCAGCTGTGAGACTCTCACTCACATAGGGGCAGGGCAGCAACAGCCCACATGGGGCAGAATGGGTCTTCCTCTTCGTGCGAACCGCCCACGAAGGCCAGGACCGTGGAGCAGTATGCGAAGAAACCTGTCCATTCATCCATTCCCTTCGTGTGCATCCATCTATTGTCCCTCCCTCCCTCCCTGCCAGTCTGCCAGCCACTCACCAACGAAAATACTGCACACAAAGGCAAACCAGGCACCATTACAGCCACTGGCTTCAGTGCCCTCAACGGACGGGCACATATCTGCCTACCTGAGACAGCGGACGTTATCAGAGCTGCGCATGTAGCTGTGCGTCAGTCTCGGCGAGTAGTTTGACGCAAAGAGCTGCAGCGCCAGGATTGTCAACGAGAACATCAGTACCACCACCGTCAGCGATGTCGTGTTCTGCACGCAGGCACCAGTGCGTTTGCTTCATAAGCTACGGCTTTCAGCATTGCCTACCAGGGTTGTCAGCATCGCCCGCGCTCGCTCAGGGTCTGTTATCAACCAGCCCAAACCTGATAGGATAGCACACGTTGATTGATGTTTCGGCAGGTACCGACGGCTTCATCCGATGTCCATCCATATGTGCCCACCTCGTTTCCATGTTTGCGTATCGGGCAAGAGCAGTGGACGGCCTTGTGATGGGTCTTGCTGCCGCTCCAGAGTCAGCCGCTCCGCCACTCGCTCCCCCACTCTCGCCTCATACCACCGCATGTGGTCATGGACAGCTGATCCACGCACAAGCACACATTCGCTTTCTTTCGCCTGCCTGTTGACGGTGAGTGGGATGTGCGTCCTCACAGAGTCCGACAGCCAGCATGGTGTTGGCGATCATGGCGAAGATCGGCCAGAGGAAGAAGCGGCGATACTGCTCCAAGAACAGGTTGTCTCCGGTCCGCGAGGTGAAGGTCAGAACGAAGAGAAGGGCGAACACAAATACGTATGCCAAGATTAGATAGTCGATTGAGGGGTCTCGCGGCTCTCGGGAGAGGGCGTCCAAAAGATCTCCGGAGAACTCATCATCCTGCAGCGCCCAAGGGGACCGACAACAATACCTCTGTACATGGTGTGATGATTCGCTCACCCTAATCCAGTTGTTGAAGCCGAAAAGGACTTCCCTGCCCTCAGAGTCAACCACAGGACCCGATGTCGCATTGAACCTCCCACCGAAGAGAGCACTCAACCTCTCCATGCGGTGTGGGATCTGACTGAGTGTCGAACAGGGCCGGTCTGGTCAGTTACAGCCTCCACGCCGCTCCAAAAAAAGCACTGGACGGGACGGAACGGATGAAGGATTCAGATCTGCCGGCAGATCTTGCAGCCCAAACCCTAGACCCCAAACCCTACAAGAAAAACAGGACGGGTGGCCAACCGATGGAGGGGCACACGAGTCAATCTGCATGTCGCAGCCTCGGCTGCACACACCCGTCTATGTCCACTTTTTGTTTGTCGTTGTGTCTTTTTTTTCTCTCTCTCTTGTTTTGCCTTCGTGTCATCCGATGTAAAAAATGGACGCAAACTCACTCTGACGTGATTCAAATCGAGAGCTCTTTTTTTCCTGCGCAAGCATGCTTGATCTGTCTCCTTCCGCCTCGCAAAAAGGAGGACGTCAGGCGCCAACATCTGGGCTCTCACAATCGGCCCCTCGCGTAGGCAAACCCATGGAGGCAAACAAAGGATACGAGCACATCGGGCCACCAATTCATGGATGGACAGATCGCGTGCGATCCGGCATGCACAGACATACCAACAACCCGAGACACACAGAGGGGAAGGGAATGAGTGAGTCGTTGTCTGTGTGCCTCCCGGCCGTTTGCCTGGCTGTCTTCGCGGGAGGCCGCGGCAGTGATTTGAGCAATCCAGAAGAGAGACAGATCCGAGACAGAGTGAGGCGCTTGCAGAGTGCATCCATACCCGGCCTCGAGTATGTGTGTTGTCGAAATGCCCATGATACAGTCCGCGACTCAGCCCAACCACGAGCGCCGCGTGTATGAGTGAGACCCCATCGTTCTTGCATGCGTGTGGGTGGTGTGTGTGCACATGTGATGTGTGGATGCGTTCACCCAGCGGCGGCTCGGTCGGAGACCGGCTTGTCTCGCTGCCACTCGGAAGCGAGGATTCTGTGTCGCGAGCTCGCCGGCAGGAATCGACTCTACACAGAATGGTGTCTATGCAACATCTCGTATGGTTTGTCACGGATTGATCGAATGCATTCGATCAATCCAACATGAAAAGTCACTTTGCTGCTTCACCCTGTACTGCGACCTGACTGTTGCGGACCGCTCTATCTCACAGCAGCTTGCTCACTCGGTTCATGCCATGCATGAGCACTTACTCATCGTGAGCCATCCATGCAGAAAAGAAAAATTACAAAAAACGATTACATGCAGACATACAGAGAGACAGGCAGCCAGATCACAAATGACATATCATCACCCCGCAATACAGATAAATAACGGTAGAATCACTCCTGCAAAAACTGCGTGGCTACCTAATTAGTGGCAGACACCCCTGCGGCTGCCTTTGTGGTCCACGCTCAGTCAGTCAGTCAGTCAGTGAGTCAGTCAGTCAGACACAACTAAATCGCCATAAAAACGCCTCAACTAGCATTAATCAACGTACGTGTCCATCCGTCCGTCCCCGCCCAAGTCTCACCACTACCCTGTACATCCCGACTGACTGACTGTCTCAACCAGCCCCTACCCTCCCTTCATCCCTCCTGTCAGCATAAGCCGTGCTAGCTGCCTTGGTCGCCAGCTGCCAGTCCATCGACTGACTACTTGTCGATGCTCACGTAGATGCTCGACCCATTCGTCACCTCGATGGGCGACCCATCCGTCACCTCGATGCTCGACCCATTCGTCTCCTCAGACTCCTCCTCTGCCGCCTGTTGCAAAATCGGTGGGTCTTCGGAAACCCGATGTCCACCGTGGCCGCGCTGCCCATGGCCGCCGACAGTGGCGCTCCTCTGCATCTTCTGACCCCGATGCGCTGACGGTTGCTGGTGGTGTAGTCGCATCTTATCGGGGCCATTGCGATACGCTGGCTTGTGCCGCTCCGGCCGGAGAGCGTCTCGACTGAGAGAGGAGGACGTCTTTGCGACAGGGAGCGACGGCAGCTTCTCGTCTGCCCGGGAGATGGCGGGCGGACCCATAATGGAGAGCAGCACCGGAAGGAAGATGAGCCCATGGAGCATACCGAACAAAACGGACTGGGGAAGAGAGAGAAAATTAGGCAATTAAAAACAGTGAGTGTCGTGCATCGCATCCGCCTGTGTGGCCGTGTGCTGCTGTCACTTACCATGAACATCATCTTGAAGAAAACCTCGAATATTGAGGAGGGGGACGCAGCAAGAGGAAGCGTAGCCAAGAGTGTAGACATCCCTCCTGCACACATGAATCGACAGGTGCGCTACTGCTTCCCTCACGAGCGCATCCGTTGCCCATCCGTCAACCCTCTGGCCTGCTCTCACTCACCATTAGCAATCGACGTGCCCATCGTTGACAGCGCCTGCTGCATCCGCTCGTCCCGTGTGCCGGGGGCCAGCATGAAGGCGTGCGCCAGGTGGGCCGAGTAATCGACGGAGAAGCCAATGGATAATAAAAGCATTATCATAGACCTGGAGTCGAGGGGCACGCCCCAGTGGGCCATGTAGCCAATCTGCATGTGCAAGAAAGAAACAATCAGACAGACACGTTGTTGCTGTATACCCCTGTCGACACTTGTGTGGGCGTACCAGGTTGATATCGATAATGACTATCTGCAGAAACACGAATATGACGGTTCGGGGACTGCACAGGAAGAAGAGCGTCACCACAAGGACGCTTAACGCGGCCAACAGCATCGACAGCAGAGTCTCGCCTAAGATATAGAGAGACTGCTCGAACCTACCAGAGACCAACAAGCGGAACGGGCGAGTGTGTAGATCACAACGAACGGTGGCAAACAGGCTTACACAAAGAAACGTGGGTGGCTGACGATAAGCCTGACGTCTGGCCGCCTGCTCAACTCCGAGCTGTCGACCACGTTGCGAAAGGAAAGCATCAACTGCGCCTGAACACAAGTGTAAGGACAATCAATCACGAGTGCTTGGTCCCGCAGCTGGACAGCTCAATCAAGGTGCGTCCGTCACCCACTGACCTGCTCACGGAAGGGCACTCCTTTGGTTGTGACAAATATCCGGCAATGGCGGATGGTCCCGCTGGCACTGCGAAGGACGTGATCGCCATACACCCGGCCCTTTAGGTTGAGAAAGCCGCTTAGATGGTCATAGAACTCAGCATCAGACCCGTTGTTCAGTTGGTTCATTTGCCGCCACTGGTCGTAGGCGCGGACGAATGAAGTGATCTGCAGCCGAGCGAGTGCGTATCACAGTCATATACCTCACTGCTGATGTATCCCGCTTATCCTCACCCTTAATCGTGTCTCCGGGTGGGCGTATTCGCTGTCCTCGAGATCCCTAGTGAGCTGCTCCAGCAGTGTCAAGTCCTCGGCCGAAGTGAAATTGAGCCCGGTAATGCTCACAGTCAAATCAAGAGACTGGACCGGCTCCTCAAGCTCAAGTCTGTCTTCCGCTGCGTAGTAGGCCCGAATGAAAGAGCCATACGGCGCCAGGTCGCGGATGTGCAAGCCTTGCTCAAGCCTGAGGATCCCTGAAATGCCTGCACGACTCACACAGACGTGGAATGATGCATGCGCGGCCTACTACGTGTACACAACACCAACTGAACGGACCTCCATACAGCAGCAGAAGGAATGCAGGAATGATCGCTGCTTTGACGACTTGCTTTGAGAGCAACGGCCCCAGGTGCTTCTTGAAAATGGCGGTCAGCCCAAAGGCCAGACGCTTGTGCGACCCCCTGTAAGCTTCCTCATTCCTACTCTTGCAACAGATCAAATCGAGCCTGCACGCATACACACAACAGTACCCACATTGCAGCGCATCGAGCAGTTTCCCCTTCGTCTGGTTCGCCTCACCGGTTTCTCCTCTGTCGTATAGCGTCCAGGTGCAGGAACGCAAGAAAGGTTGTGATGGTAAAAAGGAAGACGCTCAGGATGGCGATAGCAGTGTACCTGCATGACACCACACGTAATCCGGAGGTGGGCGGCGGGATGGCTGCTTGCCCTGTTTTCGACTCACAGGCAGAAGCCCTTGACCACAGGAAAGGAAGAGCCAGCGCCGGCGGCGAAGGCGACGAAGGACGTGAGTGTCGTCATGGTGATCGACGGGCCGCACTCCTTCATGGCCAGGGACACTCGCTCCCTCGGCTCATGGTCGGGATCTTGCTCGTGGAAGCTGTTCATGACGATGAAAATGTCGTCCACGCCGATGCCGAGGATGAGGAAAGGCGAGAGCCCGACGACTGACAGAAGGGAGAAGACGACCAACATATGGCCGGCGCATCTAAGTGACCTGTATTGGCATGCACGCACCTGCCGTGAAGGGGATCCCCGCGAGAGCACAGATCCCATACGCGAAACACAAGGAAAGGCCAACAATTGCCACACCAGTGAGCGCAAGCACCATCTGCGATCGGACGAGGTTCCCGTGGCGGTATGTGACGGACACCGCATACCCTGACCACGTGCACATCACACAGAACTGGGGAGTTTGCAAGGTCAAGCGGCAACGTGCGGACTGCACACTGACCGATAAGGACTACAAAGACGATCACCATCAAGCTAAGATTCCCCCCAACGCTCCTCTCGATTTCCGTGTCGATTGAGTGCTCTGTGCGGACGTAGACGCGGAAGCCTTCCCTCTCGCCCCACTCCTGGGTGTTCACATCGAGAATTTGTGACACGAGATTGGTCTCCCTGCAGACATCAGACATACACCCACCAGGCTCCCTTTCCAGCTGCAGGAACCATCGCCTTCCTTTGCCTTACCATGCTGCCCCTTCGTCTGTTTGCCGGCTAGCGAAGACAAAATGATAGGCAGCCGCGCTCTCCACTCGGCCCTCGGCATCGTAGTGTGCTTTCGCCAGCAGCAGCGGCACTTCATCGCGCAGCGGCGTCCCCCACTGGTCCACGCGAGTCGGCGCGTTCAGCTGTTCAATTAGCTGTTCGTCGGTGCTTGGAAGGGTCTTGTTGTTCCACCAATTGAATACGGACAGAAGGAAGCAGCTACCGTCGGGCGACCTGCCTCGGTCACAGACGTCGGAGAAGGTCAAAGTCTTGCCCTCGTGCTCCACAGAGATGCTGGTGACATTCTGGAGAATTGTGGCCGCCTTGGCGAATCGCTCGGCGGTGAGAACATTGGCATCAAAGCTCCCCTCCTTGGCCAGAAGCAGTAGGGTTGAATAGCTGTAGTCCTGATCACCCCAGATGGTCTCAACTTCCTCCTTCTCGAGCGCTCCTCGCGACTCTTGCGGAAAGTAGAGGGCCAACATCTCTTTCTCGTATTTCCTCAGCATCATGAAGCCGACCAGGCCAGCAACAGCAAGGGCGACAGGAATGAGAATGAAGAGCACCTTGTGACGTCCAGCCGCATACGAGAGCTTGTAGAACTGCCTGGAGAGCCAGTGGTCGAATGAGTGAAAGATCTCCAGGCAGCCCATCGTGAGACGGCGCCAGCACCCACGCGCCTTCACTTCGTGCCGGCCAGGCGTTTAGGGTCGGAGAGGTGTCGTGTAACAGAAAAAGAAAATAATGAGAGAGGACGGGGGGAAGGGGGAGCCGGTGAAGGTGTAGCCCGCCGACACGACGGTGCTGGGCCTCCTCCGTCGCGTCACCCGTCACACCACTCGATGCGTCCGTGTCTAAGTGTGTGTGTGCGCCGCCGAAGGGCCGAGCAACGACCAGCCACAGACATGGACGTCCTCTCTCTTCTCTCGTGTGAAAAACGTGGGGCGTTGCCTTTTGTTTGTTTTCTGTTTTTTGTTTGTCTGTTTAATTTGAAGTACCACACACATGTACACCCGCAGACAAACACGAACACGAGGTGAGGGGCGTCCCACAACTATTTTCCAGCAGAAAGCTTCACTTTCTTTGTCTGTCATGTCTTGTCCGTTCCCATGCAATCGCAGTGCCCATTGAAACAAACAGTGACTGCGGAACAAACAGTGACTGCGGAACCGCAGAGGCCATCTGCTCACCCCGCTCGTCAGCGGCGCTGTTGTATGTTATGTCACATCCTCCCCGCAGGATCGATCGGCAGCCCGCTGGCTGCTGCTGCTTAATTGAATGGCCAACAAACATGTCAGATGCATTCATTATCGAGGGACGATACGTCTTGATGATGCAATCAATGGCTGAACGCGAAGAATCGCAAGTCATCACAAGTCCATCCCATCCCATCTCTCCACAGAAGGCAATACGCAAAACACAACCTCAGTCTCCC